TTGAAGACTACGTTAGAAAAGAATTACTTTTTTTGTTACTGAAGAGTCACTTTTTAGCTTGACTGTTTGCTGCAGTGTGTCACATCCATATTTGAAACACTGGCCTGGTAAGCACCAGCACAACCTGAAGGATTTACCAGAAGGACCATATGTAAACAGGTCCTCATTCTGGGCTGGAGCAGACCAGACACAAGCCTGGTTCAATCTAGAAGTGTTGTAGGCGTGTTAGTGCAGGACTAAAGTGAACCTCATAAACCCTATTGCGAGCAGACAGATCAAGTCTTCCAGAACACTTCTTCCTTGAGTGCTTTCATCTGGGTTTGCTGGATTTAAATTAACCTAAAAAGTCTTTCAAGCAGCACGCTTTGTGTGTATGTGGGTCATTCAAATTTTGTGTCTCTATACAACTGACTGGAGGAGTGTTTCAAGTCTGAGGGCCAGAGCAAATTCTCACAAAACAGAGCAGCTTCAGCTGTCATCATCTTTCAGTTAAATGTGAATTGATGTGGTGGTCACCCACAATGGGGTGCTTCACCTAGTGGCCTCCATTGTATTGCTTTAATAGGGCAGCGAGTATTGCTGGGGGGAAAGGGGAACAAAAGATATCTTAGTACAGATCTTGCCTTGCTTTTCGTAGTCTGTTGGGCTCTGCTACCGCTGTTCTAGGAGAGTTTGTTACTTTCCCTGTTGCAGACAACCAGCTGTGACCCAAACGACAACTGTGCCCAGTTGGGGCACCTTCAGGATAAGCTGCTGATGCTTAAGAAGGACCTTGAGCAGGATATCAGAAAGGGTTTATGCCACTGGCCAAACATTTTCCCTTCTCTGGGGTCTGTGACTGTTCAGACTGTGCTTAGGCTAAGGGCTTTTTACAAATTAAAGACCTCCTTAATCAACTACCACTTTGTGAATTCAGTTGGGAATGAGACTTGATAACCTCACACTTAAGAAAGATGCCCTTCTCTTCTGTGATGTCCTGTGCAGAGAGAAAGAATATTTTGCCTAAGTTACCAAAATACTAAGGTGGTTTGGACATTGGGCTGTACTGTGCGTGGATGTAATTAATACTCATAACTGTTTCCCTCCACTTGCATCTCTTCACCAGTGGGCTGCAGTGAGACCCAAATAGAGGGATAAAGAAGCATATACTGTGGATTGTGAATGATGGATTTCATTAGAGTACTTGTTGCAAGAGAATTGAATTGAGAGTTCACCTTTGGAGGAATCTTGCTGGACAAATCTGCATTGCATGAAACATATTTATCTCATACTTTCTGGCCTTGTCTGTATGATTTTGAGTGAATAATGCAGCTTCACAACCTAGTTCCTGTCCCTTTCCTCCTTGTCCTTCGTCCCAAGTCATGGAGTATTTTCTGCTTCACAGGAAGAGATCCTACACATGGTGACTTTGTGGCTAACAAACCCTTCAGGAGTGTGTGAGAGATGTGACAGAGGAGAAAATTGAACCTAGGTTTTCCAAAGCCTGGCAGATGTTCTTACTGCTGGGCTACCGAGTAAAAGAGACATCTGAGGGGGAGTGAGGACTGCTCATATGCCAATAAAGCATCAACAGGGTTTTGGGCTACTTGCTCCCTGCAGCAAAGTAGGACACCGGGCACAGAACTTAGTGCTAATTCAATTCCTGGTGTGTTCAGAGGCATAGTGATCTATGTGTGACCTTGTGCAAAGGGTTATTGGTATATCTACCATTAAATTTCTGATAGCACATAGCTGACAGCTACAGGTAGACTCCTTGCCTTTTTTTACTCTACAGCTGAAGCTGATGGGAACAACATCCCTTAATTTTGACCATTAGTTGTATGTATATTTCTTCTGACTGTAATGCCTCATAAATGTCACTCATTCTGTAAATGGTCTTAACTGTTCATTTAGTTTAATGTGGATTTTATAGATCTCAATATATGTTAATTTGTAGGTAACAAGCATCTAGTTATATCTTTGTCTTTTTTTAAATTTTATTTTATATAAAAAGACAGTTACAAATGAAATATCTCCAGTTGTTAAGGTCATTGGTGTTAGCAGTTAATGTGCAACATTTACTAAAATGTTGAACATAGTTACTTAGCTAGTTAGGTCAGATATACTTACTGCATAATAATAAATACTTTAATAATTTATAATTAATTTTCTTCCAAACCTTCTTGCATTCATCTATTTGACCTTGGCCAGTGGATAGTTTGCTGTTAATAGCAGCAATAAACCATCTACAAGTAGTAGTAAAACAAGGTGGGAAACTCCTTGGACTTCTTTGTATGGGATTGAGATTCCAATTGGGGTATTGAGCTGGCAGAATTTCCCTTTGAAGCCCACAGAAAAGGCAGCTAGCTGCCTGGTACAGAGCAGTGGAAAGTCCTTTGTAGCTCCCCTACCACCAAAGTTACCTGATTAATGACAATAAACATGCTGGGAGTCAATTCTGACTTTGCTTTGTTTTGAATTTTTCTTTATTGCAGTTTGACCAAGCCAGGAGTTTGTTGTATAGCTTTTGTGGATGTTGTTTAGCAGGAAGGAGCAATTTTTTTGTACCAATATTACTTATTTTTTTAAGAAGTGAGCACTTTCACCAGCTTTGTCTATCACCCAGTTCTGAGCCTTGCTTTATCTTCTGATGCTCAATCCAAGTAGACTTGTTTGGCAGGTTAGGGAAAAAGAGGAAAGAAGACCAATAGCATATATTATCATATACACGTATGCATGCATCACCTTTGTAGCATTTGAACAGTTGGAGCAAGTTGATTGTCTTTGGCAGACCCAAATAGTACCTGGTGGCTCTTGGCTCTGAGGTTTTTCCGCAGCTCCAGGAATTCTCCTACAGGTCAATCCATGGCTTTAGTGCAGATCTACAGCAGTGGCAGCCCTTTTCTGGGGGTGGGTGGAAAGTTAAGTGGGGAAATCAGTATTTCTGAATTTGCTTGTTTCAGGAAAGGGCCTTTTTATTTCCTCTGAGGTGATAGCTGCAGCAAATGCTGCAACCAGAGTCTTCCAGACGTCCGTGCAGACTGGAAAATCCCTGAGACCCACCATCTAAAACTTAACCATTAACATATTTCAAATACTTTAGACTGTCTGTGAACTCCTCTATGGAATATTGCATCTCCCAACAGCAAGCTACAAATGTCCTCATACATATTATGAATTTTGCTTGGAGAAGTGTGAAATAAAGGTGATATTGAAGGGATTCTTAAAACAAGAAAAATCTTTGTGAGGAATTTATCATAGCTGTTTACGCTTAGGAGTGAAGGAAGGGCACTGGGAGTGCTCAGCAGTGAGATTAGTTTAGACAGTTTTTCCCTCCTAATATTTTTATTTTCAGTGACAGCCATCAAACTTTCACTAGATGAGGTATGTAACCCTGAAATTAAATGGCAGGCTTCCTAGCCGTAGGACAGGCCTAATGAGAAAATTGTTACCCAAATAAAACCTTCCTTCATATTGCTGTCCTTGCTGTTTCTTCTATGTGCGTGATCGAAGGTTTCTACCAGCACAACTAATGTTTTGCCTCAGAGTGCTCTATTTTTGCAGTATCTTGAGGAAACTGCCAGCATGAAAGCTGCAAGACATGTTGCTAGTGTGACTGAACCCTTGAAGGGATTGGTATTTTTAGCATATCAATTGAATAAATTAATCTCTGCAGTGCTGTGGAGGCTACAGGATAAAAGAGAGTTTCTGTTCAGCTGAAATATCACACTTTAAATCTCATTGACGTTCTTACACTCTCCTGTACTGAACTTGTCAGAGGGTTATTTATGTATGACACAACTTTCTTTCTAAATACTTGTAAAAGTAGCTTTGAAAAGGAAGGTTTGGTTTAACCTTCCTTTACATAGGAGCATTTTCAGTTTTGAAACCATTCCAGTAATGTCTGAACACGCTTCAGTGCCAATTAACTGTAAGCTAATAGTTTTGCCAGTGGAGAGGAAGTTTGTAAGTGCTGTAAAATACGTAATTGAAGATGATTCATGCTGCAGTATTGCCTCACATTAAGGATGCTAAATCTCATCCTGCTATAAATGTTATGAATAGTACCTCACTGGTGTTTATGTCAAACATGTTTGTGTAGTCACTCCAACGCTTGGGAAAAAAAAACAGGAATTCCTCTAAGAATTTACACTGCATGAGGTTTTGATTTTATTTCCTTATACTTCCATTGACTCTTCTTTCCTAAGCCAGTAATGTTCCAAAAGATAGGAAGATACTCTGCATGTCGTCTTTTATTGGGGAAGGGAGAAAGACTAGGGGAGAGGATGATTTTGTATTAAATCTCCTGCTGGTTTCTCTCTTATTTTCCGTGGCATCTTGATTTTAGCTTCTAGTTTGCCTCTATCTGAAAAGAAAAACTAGAACCCCAGCAATTATTTCATGTGTACTTGGGAAAATGTATAATCATCTTTATCAAGGAAACTCTTTGGAAGTGGACATAAATTGCGGATATGTATCTGTATCCAGCGTATCTGTCTGATGCAAATGCACTCCCTAAAACCAAGAGTTAAGTGCTGGAATCTGCTAAGCGAAATTCCAGCTCATTGTGGATGATGCTTTTTATTACTAAAGACTGTATTTGCTGTGCAGCACTCTAAAGTCACCTGTTGAAGGCTTAATAAAATTTCTTATTATCATTGTCCTGGTGTCTAATAACAAGTGAACTTCCCTGCAATAGGTGTGTGAATTGTCATCTGTCCTCCACTGTCCTGCTAGTTTTCATGAAACTTTTAAAAACTTAATTATCCTTGAAAATTTGTTTTTACCTGACATGTTTAGGTGAAATTAGACAGTATTTTCAGAGGGGAGGCTGGGAAAAGCAGGCAGATGATCACAATGCTTGGTAACAAAAGTTGTAGAAAACCAGACCAAAATTTTGCTTCAACTTCTGTTAATATGACCAGGGTGTGGTGGTTTGGCAGTGCTATAAGAAATCATGTGTTGAACTGTAAAGTATGTAAACCTGGTATCCTGGAGTTAATCTCTTGTACCTTTTGCAGGTGGAGATTTACATTTTACCTTTATATATTTACCTATGGAGTTCGGTTCCTGAAAAAGGTAGGCACTTATATTATTATGCTTTCATAACACATCACAGATTTGAAGTCTCGTATAGGTATAATATAAAGCACAGGCGTAAAACTTATGTTCAGGAAGAATAAAAATTAAAATTTAATTTGCATTCATAAAATGAGTTGCTGCTGGCATTGGTAAGAAATATAAGTTCTTACCAATATTTAATGGGGTAAAAAAAAAATAAATTGGTATAGCAACACGCCGAGTTCACTTTATTACTTTTCATTATAGGCATTAAGCTGGCAGTAAGGCTTACCAAAGTATTCATCTCAATTAAATGCCTCTGGCAGAGGTTGCTTTTTGTTAACAAACAAAATCCAGTAGTGCTATTTTTTGCCCGTTCTTTGTCTGATGTATTGTGGAAAGAAGTTTCCATGGAGTTTCCCATGAATGCTGTGTTTCTGGTGATTTAAGCAAAGAAGGGTATTAATAGCTTCTAAACCCCCTGGCACAGGTCTATTAACCCTGCCTTAGGCAGTAATATGGATTGATGGTGCAAGTTGTTTTTACAATGTGACTAGTTCTCAGAGCTTTTGGGCAAGTCAGGCCATATTTGTGTAATTCTGAGAGGTGAAATTAGGGAAATGTGTGGTCTCAGTGCGTTCATGTAATCTTATCTTCTTCGTTTTGGACAAAAATTTGACAGAAAAAACGTATCCTAAATGTTTCTGGTGCTTTGTAAGTAAAAGTAGCTATTAAAAAAAAATCCTCCTCATTTTTATGGTTGTAATTCTTGAGGCTGACACAGGTGCCAGTCAGCTTGGTGCCAGCAGGACTGATGATGTGCCTGTGTGGAGGGGGGACATCAGAGCTGTTCTCAGCTATTTAGCAGTAGTCAGCCCCAGAGGAAGCGTGTGCGTGCCAGTCCTCCAAACAGACCAGAGCAGCATGTAAAGTGCAACCTCTCCCTGCCTCTTGAACACGTATACTTTGTGTGTACTTCATCACTGTCATGCTGTATGGTCATGATCTGATACTCTCTTTTCTGCCTTCGATTCTGTACATGTCTGTGGTATGAAATACGATAATAGTTTTAATAAGCAATTGTCACAACCTAAAAGGTTACTCGGCCTGCGGGTGTGTACGAGATCGCAACTGTGGGTTCGTAGGATTCTGTAATACACCAGGACACGGAGGCTTTATCCTCTGAATTTCTCTACTTCGTTACAGATTACCACAAATACCACAAAAATCACCATTAGCAAGTATCACAAAGTCACTACTAGAAAGCATATCTATGATTAATAAAGCAAATCTCTCTCAGCACAAAGAAGGTGTCTTTCTAGGAAAAACTCTGAATACCAGCATTTCTAAAGACTAAGAAGAATACAGTAAATGCATGCTTCATTACAAGCCATTGTGAGCTGTTTCTAAAGGCTGAGCTAACATGCAAAGTGCAGGATGTCTTCCTCCCAATTCAGCATATGACTGCAGTTTGAGGAGGGCTGACTGACATAGCATGGTTTTTTGAACAAGGTATACCATTGCTTGCTTAACAAGGATTGGTTGTGTAATTTTGTTGTAATTTTAACTTTCAACGTGTTTAATTTTTACAAAGAGAACTTGTTCATTATGTAATTGTGTATGTATTTTTAATTACTCATTTTTACAGTGTTGTAAATGAGTCTTGCAACATTTTATGCCATAGTCATTATTCCAGTGTTCTGCTTCATATACTCAGGTCTTTCACATGGGAATGTATGTAAATTAACAAAATTATGATTGTGATTGTATTTATATTTACACAATCTCCCTAGTAACATTGTGTAACTAAAAGAAAGTACAGGCTTTTTGCTGTTGATCAAACATCAAAGATTTTGCTGGTTCACTTAGGGGGGAAATCTGGGTTTGCAAGGAATAAAATCCAGACCCCAAAATCTGGAGAAAGACACTTTTGAGAGCTTCGCTACAGTACCAAAGTGGATAATCCTTTTAAATTTGTATTGGTTTTCTTAATGGAATAATTGCAGAGAAATACTGAATTGCTTCCTTAGGAAGCTACTGAAAAAAGTTAAGCATAATAAACTCTCTTACAAATTCGATAGAAAGATCTTTCCTTCAAAAACCTGTTTTGCCTGGAGAAAAAGTTCATATCATAGTCAGCAGTGTCTTGCTGGGCTAATGCTACAGTAGAGATCTGCATCTTTTCAAGTAACAAGGTCTGCTTAAGATCATCCCTAAGATACCTAGTCTGGAAGACTGATAAGCGTGGTGAGTGAGCCCACGTGCAATGGCAGTCCCGACGGGTGCGATTCCATCACAGCAACAGGTGCTGCCTTACCGGGAGAGGGTGAGAAAGAGTAAATACTACAGACGTTCTTGTTTTGAAGAACAGAATATGCCGCCAGCATATGCACCACATTGGAAATATTAATTTTGACTTTTAAAACCTAAGCTAATGCTTAGTTAATACATAACTTTGGATAGTTGGATAAGACATTTCCATACAGTGTGTCTTTCAAACATCCAAATGTAACAAGAATATATTTTTAAAAGGGAAACTGCATTTTGGTGCTTTTCAAATGAACAGAATCATTCAAGGTTGGTTGGTTTGTCCATTTCTGGGTAGTTAAGATCCCTGATTTGAGAAGGCTGGTTTTGCTGTCTTGAGTGGGAAGTGTTCCTTATTAGTTGGTCTTACAAGGACTTTTACTCTTACGAGGTATTCCCTTTAGAAAAGTGAACCAACTCAGTTGTACAAGAGGCTCTCCCTAAAAGACTATGCCCAAAGCATTGCCTCTTTTATAGTTTCTTTGTTGGCTCTTGAATTGCCAGGCAACAAAATACTCTGACTTCTATATTATTGTCCTTCCCTCCCGACTTGACCTAGTCTCCTTGCAACCTGCTGCTCCTTTGCTTTGCTGCATATGTTGCTGACCTGATGGTTTTTTTGTTCACACTTCGCTCTCTTAAATGTTCCTTCCTTAGTTTGAGGGTGAAATTCATCTCTACCTACAAGACTGGCATGGAGCCCGTCAATTACTTAAGCACCACTTTGAGCTCCTTTGCTTTGTGCTGGCCCTTTGCCTAGAGGTGAATTTCACCTTTTGGATTCTTTCTGAAAACACCTTTCTCGTAATGCCCACAGCACATGAATCATTGCTACTTCGTCTTCTACTGTCACCTTCCCTATTTGCTGCATAAAGCAATATTACTGCATCAGTGCAGTAGGGCAGATGTCTGTGTTTCCTTGTGCCCACCAAACGGCCCAAGGAAGATCTAACCGGGATACTCTGGCAAACCAACATTCTTGCAAAGAATGTCATTAGGTCTTTGGTGGCTTTGTAGTGCTGACAAGCTTATCTGGGTTTTTGGGAAGATGTGCCCAAGCTTAATAAGCAGTAATTGGTTAGCAGACTTACCAACTCCGTTCGTTTTAGTTCTGAAAGTGTGATACTGTCAGCATGGCACACATGCCAACGTTAATTTATTTTTAGAGTGGGAGTAACTAGCTGCATTGAAGTTTTACATTTGCCTGGCTAGAGCATCTTGCAAGGAGGAAGAGGTTTGGGGTTTCACCTTTGATCTTCACTTCCCTACAGAAGCATATGAAAGCTAATAAAGCTGTCATTCGGAGCAATCGTAGCTCTCTCTAAAATGCCATGGCAAGCTTGTCTTTGTTACTGTCCATGACTGCAGTTAATAGCTGATCTAGATAAAAGAAATTTCTGCACCCAATAAAAGAACCTGTAAGTCTTTGTAGTAACAACTGCATGTGATATGATATATCAATTCTTTTGCCATGCTATAATTGCTGAGTATGTCACTGGAGATTTAAAAACTTTCTTTTCACTGAAAGCTCTATCTCTTATTGAACTGTTCTCTTGGGTTTTGTCTTTTTCCAGTAACAGATGTATGTTGTTAAGTCATAAATAAAGTAAAAAAATCTTACTTTTGTTGAACAGTATTTTCAAAAAATCTCATTTCACAAGCATATTCCTTTACCCTGGTAATACATATACTACAGCATTCCTTGTATCTTTATAAATCACTGAGATTTGAAGCATAAAAGATAACTAACCAATTATATTTCCACTCTGATCATGTGTATGCAAATTCTTCCCCTTTCTGACTGCAGCTGAGATTTTTCAGCACTACCATTTGTCACAAGACACTTCGTTGCAAAGCACCATACCAGTATTGATGCCAACAAGGCATTAAGTTCCAGTGACATTAAACTGGCTTCTTTGCTTATTGCTAACATAGGAACGAGATAATGTTTTTGTTTTCTTCAGTAATATTTGCAATTAAATCAATGGTGGCTTGGTCATTAGGAGTTAATGGTCTGATTGTGCTTCCATTAAATGGAAAAATTAGTGTTAGCTTCGGTGATAAAGAAACAGAGTGAGGAATTCAGGACTGGCTTGTTGCTTGCTTGCTGATCCTTGGTGCTAAGCAGTATCTGTATAATGCTGTAGAATGAAAAACCTTTACAAACATCTGGAAGCAAAGCTTCCAGGTGACATATGGTTACTTTTCACATTCAGTTTCCTTCCTTTAATTGCCCATGAGAATTACAAACTCACAAAAGAGCATGAATTCCCTGCAGTAAGAGTCTTATGAAGTCTATGTTGAGACTTGGGAACCTGAAGTTGCATGTAGGTATCCTACTGGGAAAAGGACCATCTGCCTGGATAAACAAATAACTTTTGACTTGCTCTTTTTCAAATTTAGTGTTGAAGTAAGGCTGATGATATGAGGATGCTGTGGCTGTGTTTAAAAAAATGCCAGGTGCAGCAAGCTTCTGTATGTATGCAGCTGATTGAGTTCAGTTCTGCATCTCCCTTCCTATGGAGTCATCCCCTACTACAGAACTGTCTGCCATGTAATTGCAACTGCTAGTGGTGCAGATAGATTGCGAAACAACAGGAAAGCCATATTGAAGTGTAAAAAAACCTACTTAAGTGACATAAATGTATGGAAGGCAGCTAGAAAAATAGCAGTGTAGTATGGATGAAAAAAAAACCCAACAGAGCTCCACT